CACTAGGTTAAGTCAACAGGGCTCACCCCTGTTATGAGGATAGAATAAACCCCACCCAAACCAGGCATAGACCCATTCCTTCCCCACCTTGAGACCAACCCCATGCTAAATAGAATATGCCTGGTCATAAGCATTATACTGACTGACCTTCTGAACTCTTAACTTTTTCCTTGCCATGGCCTTTAAGAAGGAGCCCCATCTTTGTGTCTCCTGACAGATGCCTTGCCTTCTAAACATCTGCTTCTTCTAGACGCAGTACAGGTCATTGATCTCAGACTACTGCCTTGATTGCTAGCCCATCTGGGTTGGAATTTAGTTTTAAGGTGAACAGTATCTAGTTCTCTCCTCTTATTTTTCCCATGGGCTTTTCCCCTGTAACAAAGCCTCAGCATTGGCAATCTTTAGTACAGGAGTGGTTGGGTGGGTAATGGGTCCACAGTCTCAGTTACTCTGACAACTTGGCATAAATGTAAACCATCCCAGTCTGTTCTGAACCAACCCCTTTGAACCCTTCCAGTTAGTTAGCTGCTTGCTTCTAGCTCCAACCCTATAATGAAGTGAAACATTGATGAGAAACATTATCTCCACTATTACATTAAGGGCTTCTTCAATCAAGCTAGCTGTTTGCTTTTCTCTCTAGGCAGCCCAGTCAGAGATTAGTTCTAACCAGGGTAGAATGGGAATGAGCCCAAAGTATGGCAAAGATCTGATTTACTGTTCAAGCTCCTCTGGAATCAAGGCAGAAAGTTATAGCAGCCTTAAAAGATCTGATTTACTGTTCAAGCTCCTCTGGAGGCTTAGGTAGACTCCCTTTCTTTCCTGTAGGCATCTGGATTCAGGAACCTCTGCTTTTTTCCATGCCCCCCACACCTGTCTACATGGCACACCCTGGTCTGGACACCACTTCACCCTGACTTCAGTCCTTGGCCACATCAGAGCTCAGTGTGCCATGCTCACAGTTAAGGCTTCCTCTGACCTTGGCAATGGCTCAGCCAGCCCTAGGAACAGCTTGTTTTGTTTGTGCTACTTCTTTGAGCCACATGACTGATTTGTCATTCAAGGTGCAGGTCCTCTGCTTACCAGCCTTAAAATCTGCCTATCCTTCCCAGCCCTGATCACTGGAAATCTACGTTAAAATAGCTGAGTCCTTTCCCATCTGAGCACCATGCCTGTCCCTTGACTTTGAAAGACACCTGCTCTCCCCTGGTGCCCCAGGATTCTGACAGCTGAAATTCCCTAAACCAGCCCCATGTCTTCCAATCCTACACACTCCTCTTAGGTGAACCCACAGTCCCAGTGACCGTATCCTGCTTTCCTCCCAGGCCTTTTCTGTTTTCCCTCATAAAAGCCACAACATCTCATTAAAACCTCATGGTCTACTTTCTTTCCCCATGTTGCTATCCTGAAGCTGCCAGGTAGCCTGCTAAAGAAAAACATTTCACCCCTTCCACTTTACATCTAATGTCCAAGTAGTGTTCTTTCCTCTTGCCATTCACATATTTTTAAATCCAGTTTTATCTTTTTCACATGCAACCCACTGCTCAGGGATGCCCGAGCAGTCTACAGAGTGCAAGCTCCAGTCATGAAACTGGCCTCTTGAGATAGAACTCTGGGGGAGAGGCTAGCAGGAAGGGTGGCAGGAATGCATTTTAAAGGACTGAGGCATCGGGGCAGGAGGCAGGAGACAATGTCCATGGAGGACATTAGGCCTGTGCCTAATGCCTGTGACCAGGGCCAGGATTAGAATCAGCCGACTAGACCAGTGACCCCACTGCTGAACCTTCTCCGCCTGGTGCTCTCTGGGTAGACTAGAAATATTCTTGAACTTGTAGTGAACAGCTGTTTGACCTTCTTCTCGTGTCCCACTTCCCTTCTCCCATAATAGCGAAGATGTAAGAATCAAGACAGAAAGTTACAGTAGCCTTGAAAATAGCCCCTGACAAAAGGCTGCCAGCCCCAAATGAACCTAAACCATTTTCCAACATGGTTGTTAGTCAGCATTTACATAGCACTCCACATTTACAGATTGGGGGACTGAGGGCAGTTAGTCATTTGTATCAGGACAGGGAACAAGATGAGGGCTGCGGGTCCTGTTTTCAATTCTTCTTAAGATTCTGATTCACTGCCTGAATGAAGAAACCCCAACCCCAACTCCTTCAGGTGGAGGCCTCCTGCACAAGGGCAGGCTGAACCCCAAACTTGACATTGGCTGCTCCTGAGTTCTCAGCCCACAGCCAACAGCTTTCTTTTCACAGAACACTTTAGGTCCCCTCTCCTGTCATGAGCCCTAGCAGAGACAACGAATACATCAAACCCTTAACAGGTATGCCAAGCTCTCTTGAACATTCACAGATCAACGCAGTTATGAGCATCTTTGTACTTCCAACTGACTGCTTCATTATTAATGTGAAATTAAACCCATTCTGAGCGCTCACAATCTGGTAAGTGTTCTATAATTGTGTTTACTGATATTGCCTTGATATTGAACACCTGGGAACAGATATAATAAATAAAGGAGGTTGGAAATCTTAGACATGATTACTTTCAAGTTGGAAAACTATAGATCTGAATGTGGCTTTGCCAGATGCTTGAGCCACTTAAATTCTCTCAGCCTCAACTTTTGCATCGTAAAACAGAGATAATTATGCCTTCCACTTAGGGTTGTTGTGAAGACAATGAGATAAGATTTGTAAAAGGCCTAACATAACATTTGAAAATATAGCACATCCCCAATAAATAGTAGTTAGTATTAATGTGCAACATTAAGATGGAAGTACAAGATAATCAGAAGATACAGATAAACAGAGCAACTCTTAAAAGCTGTCTTTTTCTTCTTTTATGCATTTAACAGTATTCATGGAGCACCTACACTGTACCAGATATCATTCTAGAAGCAGAAAATACAGCAGAGAACAAGACAGGTAAAGCCCCAGCTCTCCTGAAGGTTACCTGTGAATGGCAGGAAGATAATAGAGAAATAATAGTTAATAAAGATGATAATTTCAGATATCCATAAGTGTTGAGAAGAAAATTAAACAGAGTGATATGATAGAGAGTGACTGGTGGATTTTAGAAAGAACCTCTGTAAAGGATCATAATTGAGGTAACACCTGCCAGGAGAAGCCGTAGGAGTAGAGAAGGGGCCAGGTGGAGGAAACAAGTGCCCAGGCCTGAGGTGGAATCAAGCCTGGCTGGCCAGGAGAACTGAATAAGGACAATGGTGTCTGGGGTGGTGAGAGAGAAAAGGGACGAGATTAAGTTGAAGGTCTAGGCAGGGGATCTGAATTCTTATCACAGCTCTGCTACTAGCAAGCTGTTTGGCTTTAAATAAAGATTTTAAACTCTTGAGGTCTCTCAGCTTTGCCATCTGAAAAATGAGGGGAAGGGGTTACCCTTGATCATTGTTAAGGTCCTTTCAACTCTGACTGTAATATAGACCAAAAGCACCATTACTCTTCCTATGATGACAATACTGCAGTCAAATATGACTCTCTTACAGATTGTCCAGTCTTATTTGTAAGTGTCTATATTGATCTTTAGGAAAGAGTTACCTGTAAAATCAATCAGTCCCCACAATGTAAAATCCTTCATTCTGCTTATTTCGAAGTATCTTTTGGATTAGTTATGGCCAAAAGATCAGCTGGCCATAGAGAGTTTTTGGTTCCTGGTGGCAAAATACTAGCAGCTCACAGATGGTCCCAGGAACCTAGTTTTTAAAGTTTATTTTAATCGTTCTGTATTGTATCTTGACCTTTTTTCAAGCAACTAAAGAGCATGTATCAAGTCATACAACTGAGTCTGGAAAACTTTAAGAAACTTTCTATTTTGTTTGATAGCATCAACTTGCAGAGTAGGTTATTCTGAATAGTCAAAACGAGTGTTAAAATGCTGTTTGTAAATCATTATCATCTTTTTTTAAGTCCTCATGATAGTGATTTTATTAAATTAGTTGCTTTATAAAACATTGCAGATGTCGCAATTGTTAACATAACAATTTACCAAACTGCAGTTAACTGGTGCAGTTTACTGAGCATGTTTATAAAGGGAAGGAAATGCCAAAACCCTGGTAAAGTTGTTCCACTGTGGCCTAAGAGAACAACGATTGGTTTTTCAGACACTTAAATTGGCAAATAAAAACAGGTAAAGAGTTTCTCTCCCCCAGCTGAAGCACTTCATCAGTAGAAATAGCCTGATAAATTACTTTGCACTCAAGAGATTCCACAACATGTAATGCAATAATGGAGAAATTTACCTCCTTTAGCTTCAAAGTTGGAGGGTTTTGGTCATTTTAATTTTATATCAAACTACTGCTGCAGTTTGATATAAAAACTATAGAGTGAAGATATCAACCACAGTATCTTCACTCTGAGATAAGCAGTCTTCTTCACAATGTATTTGTAATATCATCATGTTCAATTTTAAGACAAAGCAATTTTAATACTAGGTGCACACCACATGCCCTTGCTGCACAATGGTATTCTTGACAAGTTATGGAGCAGTTCAAGGAGGTATGGTTAAGGCTGTATTACTGAATGATACTGGTAAATACCATACAATTTTTTTGTCATGTTGCAATCTTTTGTTTCCAATTCCGTGACTGCTGCTATGAAATCAGAGAGCAACAATGACAATATTATTAGGTTTGTTTTGAACTATGATTTAGTAGCAACTGAAGTTCCCAATTTTAACCCCTTGGCAGCAAGATCCAAGTTCCCTCATTTGCACATTAGCACCTAAGGGTCGAGGGGCTAAATAACCAACACAAAAGATACAACTGAACTTCCAACTGTAGCATTTGGCAGAACTGAAAGGAAAGGAAGTTGTACTACATGTTCAAGGGATTGTGCGCAACATAAAGATGACACCAGGACGGGAGGCTAAGGCAGAGAATTGCTTGAACCCGGGAGGCAGAGGTTGCAGTGAGCCTAGATGACGCGGCTGCACTCCAGCCTGGGAGACAGAGCGAGACTCCGTCTCAAAAACAAAAACAAAACAAAACAAAACAAAATGACACCAGGAAAAGATAAAATGTCACATGAAGTCTTCATAGTCTTGTACATATCCTCCATCATAACCACCATAATCTGCCAGATCATCTTTCCTGGTGGCTTTTATCCCCCTCCAGGAACCACACCTTTCTTCTTTTTGGTTTTGCTTTGTTTTCAGTGAATTGGTCATCTTCTTCAAGTCATCAATTTCCAATGAAATACACACATCTCGAACTAAGATTTCCAAAAAGAAAGGCATCATATAGTGACCTTTCATATTGTGTAATTCTATCTTTTAGTAACTTTCCAAACTCTGTAAAATCATCTCTTGAAGATGGGCTCATAGCATCTATTCCATAAACTGTATTATTAACACCAAAAGTTTCCTTTGCTAATTAGAGGTCTGACTCTTCCTGTAATTTATTTAGCCCCAGTTTATCTGCTAATTGTTCTTCTGGTGTTAGCACTTTAGGTTCTTCAGGTTCTTCTAACCTCTTTTTAATTTCTTCTGGCCTTTTCTTCTGTTGCCGTTCTTTCTCTTTTATCTTCTCTGCTGTTTTTCTCTTTTCTGAACTTTTAACCTCTGGTTTTACTTCTGCTGCTTCTTTTTTTACGTCATCATTGTTATCAGTTATCCTTGACGTCCTCGTCCTAGTCCTCGCCTTCCTAGCGGTCCCCACCGGCAGTGCCGCCGCCCCACACCTTCTGCACTGGGTCTTCCACGGAGAATGTGTCTGCCTCTCAGGATTCGGAGTCTCCCGCCGCCGCCGCCATCTTGAACCGGGTGTGAGAGTGTATGAGCCAGAGAGCTAGCGAGGAGTTAGCATGGAGAAGGTGAGTCACTGGGTTTGCTCGATCTTTATCATCTTAAATGTTCAAGCAGGTCTGACTGTAGTGCACGCCTCTTCTCTAGGGATTTAATATGCAGTAGTTGACCACCAGAGCAAATGTACATTTAGGAAAATGACAATTATCCACCATGGTCAACAGTGACATAGATAATTTAAAGTCACCCAACGTGAGAACTGAGTGAAATTCTAAGCCATCAGGTCAAGAAGGTAGGTACTTATTCTGAAATGGCTTTAGTATAACAGATTTGCACTAAAACTGTTCTGGTCAAATGAGTAACTAACTCTCCTGCTTTGTTTTTTACGCACTTACAGCTTCTTGGGTAGACCATTCCAGAACTTAAAAAACAATCTTCCAGTTCTTTCTTATTTCTAACCTAAGTCCTTTACATTGCCTTCTAGGTTATTTCCTCTATTTCTGTCATATATGGAGAAGGGTAAACTGGTGGTTACCCTCAGCACATTACGCTTTTTGATATGGTTTGGCTCTATACTCCCACCCAAATCTCATGTAGAGTTGTAATCCCCAGTGTTGGAGGTGGGGTGTGGTGGGAAGTGATTGGGTTATGGGAATGGTTTCCAATGGTTTACCACCATCCCCTTGGTGCTGGCTCATGATAGAGTTTTCAGGAGATCTGGTTGTTTAAAAGTGTGTAGCACCTCCCACTTCACTTTCTTCCTCCTCCTCTGGCCATGTAAGACGTGCCTGCTTCCCCTTCACCTTCTGCCATGATTGTAAGTTTCCTGAGGCCTCCCCAGCCATGCTTCCTGTACAACCTGTGGAACTGCAAGTGAATTAAACCTCTTACCTTTATAAACTACCTAGTCTCAGGTAGTTCTTCAAAACAATGAGAGAATGGACTGCTACACTTTTAAAACAAATACTAATCTAGGTTCTTTACAGATTACCATTTAATTCTCAGAATTCCATCAGATAGATAACTCTTTCAATTCCACTTTATGGGTGGGACAGCTGAGGCACAGAAGCTAAACACCAGCTAGTGAGAGACACAGCTGGGATCTGAGCCCATGCCCCCGGCTCCAAGATCTGTGCTTCAGTCACTGCACCATTTTGCCCCTCACATAAGCAAATTCTCCATCTGGGTTGCTATTCACAAATCTATCTCTTTTTTTGTTTGTTTGTTTAAGTGATTCATGAAGAGACACCAAAAACCTTTTTCTGTTTTCTTTCATTATTTTATAAGTAAATGTAATTCTTTTCCTTCTTCCTGAAAATGAAAACCTACAACCAATGCTTTATCTGAAAAAGCCTTTGACAGGTTACTGCAGAAAGGGTCTTTAGTTTATTCATGCTGCCCTCATTAATAGAGAAGAAGTCTTGCTGGGGCAAATTAAGTCAGTGTGTTCCCCACTCACCATCTAATTATTTTAAAAAGCACAATCCAGCACCAGAATTAAAGCAGGAATTCTACCCATCCGTTGTGAGAGCACAAGAGGCCACGAGATGAACCACATAGCTAAGACTGGTGACGTGGACTGGAGAACCCAGAAGATAATGTTATTCAAGTTTATGTGGAGGCTTTCATGGCACTCTGGTTTTTCTACATCAGGAAAACAACTGCTGTAGGCAGAGAGTTGGTAGCTCCATATGTATCTACTTACCTATGTATCTGCGTATTCGTCTATGCACATATATGTACCACACACACCTACACAATTTCTTTTCGTTTTCCTTATCTTAACCACTAAAATACTAAGTTTTTTTGTGTACCCTTTCAAGTCTTCATCACAGATAGCAAAGAAAAGCCTGCCCTTCTTATTGTCCACTTTGCAAGCAAATTCCCTAAAACAAACCGGAAACATAAAATAGAGGATGCACATAACTAAAATATATAAAATATATACCACATAGGTATAAATAAAAAATTACATATACTTATAGGTATAGGTGAAAATTATATATAGGTATAAATAAAATTTATATATATGGACATTATGTATATGTATATGTGTGTGTACAGGGTATTTCAGACCACAAACTTAGTGGTATAAAATATATCACTTTATTTAGTGTCATGACAACAAACCTTAACACATCTTATGAGGAAACAATCTCAGTCAGGAAGGGCTTCTCCTCCCTTCTAAGTTACCCGGGTAGAGCTGTGTGCCGAGGCAGTGGGCGGAAGGGGTTGTCTGGTCTGGGTCATGATCCATCCAAGTTGGTGAAGACTGAGGCATCCTTATTGCTGTCTGGTCTTTGTTCACACAGAGAGGTAGCAAGGCTGCAAGAGTTCAACGCTCTCAGAGCTGCAGCCCAGGGCACAAGCAGCTCCATGAGGCTGCCTGAGGCCCTGAACCCTGCTGCTCCAGCATGCACATGAAGATTCCAGGGGACTCTGGTTCTGGCTGCCACTCCTTTGAGGTTGGGGTAGAGGGACAAGAGAGTATAGAAGCTCACCACGCTCAGATTGTCTCCCTTTATCTGGTATTTTTCTTACCCTGCTTCTTACCTCCTTCCCAGGGTCTTAGCCTAGGGGAGGGAGCAGCATGTGGGAACCATTTATCAGGTCACATCAGAGTTTAGCTAACCTCCCTTTGCCTCTCCTTTAATTGTCTTCCTTTCCCTATTCCACTAACCTGTGAACCTTTGGAGGAATTAAGGATCAAATGGAAGACTCTCTCCTTCTCATTAGGTCTTCTTTATGCCCTGAGCTCCTCAGCACATATGCTTTTAAAAGGCATAGCCTTTTTTTCTTTTATAATAGCTTGAAGCAAAGAGGTTACATGCCTAAGTGATACAGTGGGGCAAAGGAAAATGGAGTGCAGAGAGACAACAGTCTTTTCCTCCAATCACATGTACCCACCTCACAGTATATAATATATGTCAGCTGTGTGTATCTTAACATGATATATACATATATGTATTTAATACACAAGAATCATATTTAACACGTATAGGCATTACTCATGTGGTTTGGGGCTATGGATTGTGGCTTTTTGGGGGATAAAAATTTATGGATGAATACTTCTATCCAATTCTTAAATATTTAAGTCATAAGTATATGTTCTTAATTTATGGATCATAAGAGAAAAAAATGGAGAACCAGAATATAAAAGATGATTATAGATAGACTGTAAGATAGATTATAATAATAATATATCAGATTATAGATAGATTTCTCATCACCAATTGCAGGGAGAGAAAAGGGAGCAAGAATTTCTGACTCAGGAACTCTGTAACAATCAACTTACTGTAATCCCAGCCATGTCTTTTAGCTTCATTAACAATCTCATTTTCATTATTAATAAGGATGAAAAAGTGCTCAAAATACATTACAAGTATAAGATCACAGATTTCAAATAATAAAGCCGATTGAGCTGAAGATTGAAAATATTGGCTTATTCATAAGACATTTTAGAGCACTATGCAGACAATAAAGAATTCTTAATCCTTACACAAAATGCCATGATTCACGATGTTTTTCTTTAGTATGAAATTATTTTCAATGTAAACTCTGACACACTTGGGAAAAAAAAATAGGTTCTTTAAGACCTTTCCATACAAAATGTAGGTAAAATAACTTGAAAAAGAAGTGAATCAATCTTAGGTTATATTGGCTACATCTTTAACTTGTTGCTACTAGTTTAAGGCAAGAACTTAATCTTTATTTATATCTAAACATACAAAGGGAAATATCCCTTTGCTCCATGGTGAGGAGACAGGACAAAGCAGGTTTTTTTTGTTTTGTTTTGTTTTTACCTGTGGTTGAGGAAATAGCTGTTTAAGAAAAAGATACTTCCGTTCTTCCTGGCTAGCCTGAATCTTGAGAGGACAATTCCTCTCTCCCAGTTGTTGGGCAGGGTGTTTTTGTTTCTTGATGGATAAACATACTTCTACTATTAACACTAGGTGATAAGATTCGGGGTAAACAGTGTCTCAGGGATTACTTAGGAGGGACAATAGGCAGACGCAGAATCCTAGGGGAAAGCCTTCAGGTATGTTGTCAAATTTGGCAAGTAAAAATACAGAAAAACCGGTTAAATGTAAATTTCAGATAAAGAATATAAGTTCCCTATATTGCATGGGACCACCTTACCAAGGTGGAATCATGTGAACATAGGAAATGACCACTGGGTGAGTGCCCAGCAGGAATATGGGCTCACCAACCAAAAGAGTAAACAAGTGGCCTCTGGGCATTCCAGCCTCAGAAGGTAGCTTATAATTCTACCAAATTCTACCAACAGTAGAACCAGTCTTCAGGGAGTACTAAAAATGCATGTGGCAAACCGAAACAGTGGTGTTAGCATGAGCCTACCTTGGAATTAGCCTGAGCTGCTTGGTGTAACATTCAAGTGAGACCAAAGTAGGGCAGAAGAAGGAACAGGGGCCTGTGTACCCAGGGAGTGTCTGTCATGCAAATCTGTGCCTTGTCTCTAAGTTATCTTAGGACACAAATCTGTGCTCAGGAAGCTCATCTGTTTCTGTGCTTCTGTTTTTTCCCGTTTTTGGTCTTCTTGTGCTTTCCCCTCATTTATCATTCAAGTTTCTTTTTGAATATTCCAGCTTTTGTCTCTAAATAATTAACATCTAGGTCTTTAGTCTTGATCACCCTCACCACCCCATCCTCTTTGTACCAACCAGAGGGCCTCTCTCCTTCTGTCTTTTAAAATCAGATTTATTGAGATATAATTTATATATAATAAAGTTCACCAATTTTATATGTATGATCTATGAGTTTTGACAAATGTATACAGTTGTATAACCACTGCCGTCACCACAATCAAGAGAGTAGAATATTTCTATGACACCAAAAAAGGTTTCTCATGTTTCTTTACAGGTAATCTCGAGACTCCTTCCACACCTGGTCTCTGGCAACCACTGATCTGCTTTGGAACACTTCAGTTTTTACTTTTCTAGAACTTCATATAATTGAAATCATATTGTATGAAGTCTTTGTTGTCCAACTTCTTTTATTTAGCATAATGCTTTTGAGATTCATCTGTGTTGTGTATTATCAGTTGTTCATTCCCTTTTTACTGCTGACTAGTATTCCATCATATTGACATACCACAATTTGTTTATTCAAAAATTAATTGACATTTGGATTGTTTCCAGTTTAAGGCTATTATACAAAAGGCTCCTATAACATTAAAGTAAAAGGGTTTTTTTGAATATAAGTATTCTTTTCTCTTGGGTAAATATCTACAAATAGGATTACTGGGTCATATCATAATCAGAGTTGTACATCTAACTTATTAAAAACTACCAAACTGTTTCCCAAACTTGTTCTAACATTTTGTATTCACATCAGCAACATCTGGGAGTTTCAGTTACTTCACATTCTCACCACACTTGGTATTGTCAGTCATTTGTCAATTATGAGTGTGTGCTAATATCTCATTGTGGTTTTAATTGACATTTTCCTAATGATTAATGATGTTGATAATCTTCTCATGTACTTCTTGGTTATTTGTATTTTTTTGATCTATTCAAATCTTTTGTACAATTTTTAATCAGGTAATTTGATTAGTATTTAGTTGTACATGTTCTTTGTAGATTATGTATGCAGACCTTTGTCATACATGTTTTGTAAATATTTTCTCCCACACTGCAGTTCACCTTTTCACTGTTCTTTTCTTTTGAAAAGAAAAAGTTTTTAATTTTGGTGAGGTTCAATTTAT